ATTGAGAGGGTTTTTTTGGGAAAGGAAAAAACCACTGTTAAAAACCTTTGGGTCCCCAGAATGGAAAGGATTAAATTTAAATTTGGGTGAACCCAGAGGGGAAGTGAGGTGGGGGGGGAGGGTGAATAAGGGTTAAATGAAAGGGGTTGTGAAGAAAAGGGGAAAATGGCAGGAAGGGGGTTTTAAAGAGGTAAACTGTGGGGGTTTTTTGTGAAGTTAAAGGGAAAAGTGAGCGGGAAAGGGGGGTTTTGAAGAGGAAATTTTATGAATTCAGTGAAAATTTTAAAGCAGATTAAGTGTATGGGGGACGGAAAAGAGAATAAATTTTTTTGTATATGAGTAAAAGAGTGAAGATGAAAATGGCGGGCATTGGGGGGAAAAGGCGCCATAATTATATTTTAATTTTTTCTTCAATTCCTGAAGAAAAATCATCAGGGGGGTTGGAAAAGGGAATGGAGTAACACGCCCGGACAGTAAAACCCCACAGTTGCCCCCTACCAGAAAATAAACCTCACTATCGCGCAAGTTTGGCAACCCCAACCCAAACAAAAACAATGGCCCAGCTCTTTTGTAGCGCTTTTAAAGTGGTGTTTCCCAAATTAATCCAGGACTCAAACATTGTGAGGGGCAAACAGACAGATAAATGACGGCAATAATGAGGCTAGTAGCTGGGGGATGAAAACCCTTAACCCCCTTGTAATGCATACTAGGTAAAATGTGAACAATACACCCATTATTATTAAACACACCAAAAGGCAAATGTACTAAAGTACGAATGAAAAACGAAAAGGCCCCCTTATGAAAAAATGTGAAAGGGGGGGGTGCAGAGGAGTTTTAAATTATAGAACGGGCCAAAATTTCTTTTTGTGTGTAAAAAGCCTTTGGCACAGTTCCCTTTAGCAGTGAGATTTTGATTTACCTAATTTTAAAAAAAAAAGCCCTTGCCATAATTGATGATTATGTTGTTTTATAAAAACGGGCCCTTCATTTATTCATGTAAATGCAAGATATTTTTCCCAAAATTGGGGCAGGATTGGATTCTGCTAACAAAATTAGGGCGGCTTTTAAAACCCATTTTGAATTTTGGTTGGAGATACGGTACTACGCGGGTCAAAATAAAAAAGGTTAAAATAAAAAAACGCTTAGAAGGGAAACAAAAAGGGCGGTGGAGTTTCCCTACTTGAAATACTTAGCTTACAACCAAGACCTTTTTAAAATAAAAATAAACTGGAGTTTCTTGGTTTGAAGTGCTGCTTCCCAAGACCAAACCATTTTTGTAGGAAAATATTACCGCCCTCCTCCCCGGACCGTTCTTAGAAGACTTTTCAGGTTTTGCCCGGAGTTAAAAGCAATTGCGAAAAATAATACGGGCGACTTAAATATCTGTTTTCAGCAACAAAATAAGGGCTATGCAAAAGGTATAAGCAAATTCTGGATTAAATGCACATAACTAATTAATAACCAAACCCCCGGGATCACACAGTTCTCACCCCCCCTAATTGACCCATACTTTGCAACCGCGTGAGACGTATCGGGCGCTTCCCAGGTCTTTGGGGATCATTTCATCTTTTACTGCACCAGGAAAATCCTGGGGATAGGATACCCCTACACAGGACAAAAAAAATGAGGTCAACTAAAACTCAGTAAAAAAACCCGGGTAAATGGCACACAATTGTGCGGGACAGGTAAAAATTTTCACGGACGTAAACGATCCGGGAAAAAAATTCAAAACAATGTTCCTCCCATTCTTAATAATTTCCCCAGTTAAAGAGGTTGGGATTAAAAAAGAACTGAAACCCTGGATGACTACGAGATTTAGAAAATATGAATTCAGGCCCAGCTGCAAAAAGTTTTAAAGCAAACAGACGGAATTGCAGCCAAAAAGAATTCCAAAGGGTGGGAACAGAGTACAGGCTTATAAAAGGAGAAAGGCAAGCACATTGCTAAAAATTTGAAGAATAAAGCATAACCCCAGAAAGCTCGGGCAACAACAAAACAGTTGGGTATAGCCATAAGCCAGTAGATGGTCTAACTGTACTCATATCGTTAATGAGGTATCCCACAAAAACATCTAAGGGGGAAAATTTGCTTTAATTCTACTACACATCTGTGCATCAACATAGTAAGTAAAACCAGCTGCATCAAATACCTTTAACACAGCTCTGATAAGTTTTCAAACATAGTTTAAACCCTAAAAGGGGGAACCCCAAAAGTTGTAATGTAGGTATTATGACTTCATTCAAAAAAACTAAACAGGTTAAACCCCAACTAAGGCACAGGCCCTGAAAACATCCCCTTAGTTCCTAAAGAGGTGCTTTTGAACTGTCAATTTCCCCATTGCCCCATAAAAAAAACTATCAATCACCCTAATCCGTACCGGAGGGGGTTTAGGAGGGCCCGAGTTTTCCTATTTCAAAAAAAATTTTGGGCTGTGTAAGAAAAAATTTTGACCTGTTTTTATTCAGTATAATTCTAAAAATTTTGGAGAGGGCGGTGTATTTCCCAAATAGTTTAAATACCCTTTTGAAACAGCTTCTCCTAGTATCAATGGGCTTTAGGAGATCCCACTAACCGATACCTCCCCTTTTAAACGATGGATTCTGGAAAGAAAATTCAAAGGGAACCTCATAGGTATGGTAACCTTTGACTGCAAAAGGCCCTTTGATACTGTCAACCCAATATTTATGTAATAAAATTCAATCTATCGGTTAGGTTTGTAGACTGGTTTAAATCCTCCCCTTTGCAACAGGAGACAAATAGTCAAAATCAAAAAACGGAATAGAACCCCCGCCGTAAATGTGGGGTTCCCAAGGTATATTTGGGTCCCCTTATATTTTTGTTTGCAATGATTGCCTATCATGTCAAGTGCAAATCCTACTGTATCGTGACAGTGCTTGTTAGTGAAGGTAAAGACCCCCAAGATATTTCTAAAGTTTTTTAAAACTGGAACTGGAGTCCTGCAGCAAATGGGTTTGTACAACAAATTCATTACACCTAGGGAAACTGAAACCCTTCTCTTTGGAACGAAACATAAATGGAAGGGTAAATAATTTTTTTTCAGTGTAATGGGGGTCCATCCTTTGGTTTCATCAGTTAAAAATTGGGAATCCCCTTTTACCCCCGCGTCAGGAGAATTGTAGGGGAAAAGTGTGTAAAGAAAGCGAATGCCCGGTGAATTCCTGTTAGACAGCACGTGTCTACCCACTGAGGCTCGCAGGACCCCCTGTTAGCCTTATCATGCCTTGGATTTCGTTGCTCTTTTTGGTACCTTGCCTTTACAAAAAAAATAAAAATAGACTGCAAATCACCCAAACAAAATGTAAATTCATCTTGGGGCTGGGGCCAAGAGAACTTAGGCCAGGTGAATTTCAGCGTTTGGGTATGCTGAAGTTGAAGACAGAGTTTAAAAAACTGAAGCTAAATCATGTTTTTAAAATTGTCACGAACAGTGTCCGAAAAATTTGCGTCAATTTTTTCAAGGTTGGGAACCAAGCATCATAGTAAAGGGGAGAGGGGCACAACTTTGTAGTACCCACAGCGTGGCCAGGGTTCAAAAAACCTTTTTTTGTACAGCAAAAAGGAATGGAAAGCACCCACAAATGTCAAGGCCCGTCTAGCTTGAACCAGTTCAAGAAGACTGCCAAAAAAATGTCGATGAATGAAGCAAAGGGGAGGGGGAAAGATTTTTTATTTTTTAGCTAAAAATGCTGTAAATTTTACCTTTTTCCCTAGTAATGACCCTGTATTGTAAAGTCGTAAGACCCCCGGGGGATAGATAGTCTTTTAAAGACCCCGTATTGTAGATGTCTTTTTTTTATGAAAAAAGATGTTTTCTTTTTTTATAGAATAAAAGAAATATTATAACCTTTTTTATTATATAATAAGGTAAAAAGGGCCCCCAAAGGAAAAAAAGTCCTTGATTTTTTGGGGGTTTTCCCAGGGTTTTCTAAACATTTGCTGCATGTTTTGATAAACTATGTAAATGTATTTTGTTTCCTGAATAAATTTACTTACTTACTTATTTACTTATAAGAGTGTCTTTTAGGGTAGGGGGGGGGGGTTATGTTTTGTTATTTAGCCCTGATGTTCTGTAATATGGCGAAGTAGGTTGTGGATAGGTTGCAATAAATCCATGTTGTTGAGATTATATGTTATTTTTATATGCTGTACTGAATTGTTTTTAAATAAAAAAAAACTCCCTTGTTAAAAATTCGAAATTAAAACTTCTTTACAGGGCTTTACCTGTTTGACAATGTATAAAATGTATTAATCTCAATGTACTATTTGCAAAAAACATAAATAATAAATAAAAAAAAAATAAAAAAATAAACAATTCAATCTTTTTTACAAAGTATTTTTAAGTAAAAAAATTATTGGTACCCCTAATTTCCAACAAATATCGCTTCTGAATACTTAAGGAAGAAAATGACCTTAAAGGGTTAAATGATGAAAATTTTTAAAGAATAAAAATAAAAATTGTGGGAAGTACAAAAGTCAAGTAAATAATATAAGAAGGTAAATAGCTATTTTTTTTCCTAAAGAAAAAATTTTAACCCAGGATAGCCAAAAAAGTTTAGCGTGTGATTTATCCCCCAGCTGTCCGGAGGGGAAAAAAATTTCTTTTTTGCTAAAGATGTATTAAATGAACTGTAAAATAGCATTTTAATACTGCGTTGAATTGTCTCTGATTTTGTACTCTTTTTGGGATTTTTTTAGTAGTATTACAGTTAAAGTCGGACGCATGTAATAATAATGAAGGATGGACGCTTTTAAGACTCGGGAAAAAAAACACATTTTGGGTTTTACGACGGTTTGAAGCCTGAAAGTAAATAATAACCCCGGATAACTCGGATGCTATTTACAATGTCACTAACCCAGGGTCTGTATAAAGCCTGAAAAAAGGAACATTAGTAATAGGAGATTTGCTTATATATCGCCTCGCCCAGGGTTCTCCGGGTACTCTCGGTATTTGGTTAACTGGGTTTAAAGCCTATCGACTACACGAGAATCATTTAGGCTGCATGTAACTTGTTCTTTACCAGTCAAGAACATGTTAGTCCACAAAATAAGGATTACGGTAAACTTTCAGCATGTATACACTGGGAGTCATACTTCTTGTGGAAAATAATGTATTTTCCGAAAAAAATCTAGCGTATATTTTATGAAAATTAGTGTAATTGTATTTGATAAAAATTAATTTGTAAATGAAAAAGAGAATGGGGAGGGAAGCTCTGCGCCTGCGCTGACGAGCGGGGAGGAGAGGCCATTGTTTTTTTAATGTGTTACAGGCACTCTAATGAAATGTGCTTAATTTTCGTCGCTCTAGGGGTTATATTGGGCTTAAAACCTCTCAAACAGGAGCCGAAATTGTTGGATGTGCATTCCTGCATAACTTGAGCATTAAACAGATGTAAAAGACAGCTCTAGGAGCCTCAGATAAGCTATCTAAATTGTTTGTAATTCTGGCCAGTATTATCATCATAAATTTGGATAGAGGGGGGGTTTCTGTACATGATACACAGTAATCTCCAGACTAATTGGTGAGTGTTATGATTATAAATTCTCCTTCTGTTATATAAATGTGTATATGTAATCATTTATTAATTTTAATATACAGTCCACAAATTTATATTAAATTTTACCAGAATTCCTGGTGATGTACATTTCATTTGCAATTAATATAGGTTTAGAACAACTTGTGGAGAGATAGATGTTAGTTATCGAAGGGGGACATTTTTTGCGACCTAGGTGTCCTAAAAATTCCTACTTGTCTCTGTAACTTTGATAAATAATAATTATCTTTGTTACCATTTACTTGTATGTATCTAATGAGATTCATCCAGGTAAATGTAATTTTCCACACTTCTCACAGTTTACATATATTCTCTTATGGTTGTGAGCTGAACGAGTTATCGCTATATAATTTACCATCACTGTATGATTAAAACGATTATATATTTATTGAAACATTGTATAAACGTATAATAGTGTGTAAAATATGTGATCTTGAATGAAGTTTATCTTCATTTTTCAACTGTGATCGTATATTGATTTATTTTATTACTGGCTTTGTATGATTAGACTACACATTTCAATCTCTTAGAGCATAACAGAAGATATTTGGTGCTTGACTACGCACATTTTTTTTTTATCGAAGTTTGGTAAGCAATACTGTGTGACTACCCTGATCTATGAAGGTTTTAAGCCAGACTAACCCAAGAAAGTCATTTAGTATAACTTATTTATATATGGTTTCTTCCTGTTGTTCTCTAATACTTAACCCAAAGCAGTTGATTAATTAACGTTTAGGTAGCACTTTACTGAATATGGTCAACATGGGCAGAGAATAGAATGGAGTTTTTTTTGGATGTGAGACGAACGCTTCTTTGGGTCACCCTGCTTTGGTGACAAGCTGCCGATTAAAAAATACATAACTAAGAAATTATTTGTACATATTTTATCTTATTTGAAAGATAGGCTAAAATTACACGGTCAACAATTTTTGAAAAGTCGTATGCTTCTTAAATGGGATTAGTTAATTCTTATGTATTTTCATGTCCCGAATCCAAATATCACCTTGAAAAATGCTTGTTGGGTATAGGTTTAAAGATACGAGACATGTAATATTTGATTATTTTATTATAACGTACAGTATATGTCAGTATGTTTTAAACTCTAATCCGTACCTACTCTTTGCTTTTTTGCTTGACGCTTATAATGGCCTGAAGAACCATCTCTTGCCAATGTCCAGCAATAGTTTGCAAGCATTCTTGTGCCCAATTTGCCCTGGTACCATTTTTCCATGGCTGAAATATCTTGGTGAAATCTTTAACCATGTTCGTTACTAACTGCCCCACAGTTCGCTGAAAAAAGTCTAAATGTGAGTCCAACAAGTGGATTTTAAGTGGCATGTTACATCCCATGTTCTTGTAAGCTTTCCACCATTCTTCATATTTGTCTTCCCTTCTGTTTCCGAGAAATCCCTTCACCACTAACTTGAATGCTTCCCAAGCAACTTTCTCGTCCCCATGAAGGTCTGATTCAAAGTCACAATCTCTAACAAGCTCTCGAATCTGAGGACCATTAAAGACTCCTCTCTTATCTTCCTCCCTCTTATTTTCTTCCCTCTCTTATCTTCCTCCTCACCACTTTCTTCATCTGACTCGAAGGATACCGAAGTTGGTGCCTCAGGAACAGGTCGACCTTCTCCATGTGGAACTGAGAGAATAGCTGATGGAATGTTTGGATATTCAATGGACCCCTTTTTTTTCTTTGACAAGCCCTTTTGTACTGGAGGTACCATGCAGAAATAACAATTGTTGGTATGGTCTGTTGGCTCCCATCATGTCATTGGCACAGCAAAAGGCATTCCTTTTCTCTTCCTGTTCAACCACTGGCGAGGTTAATAGCACAATTGTTGCAGCATATGTGTGGAGCCCAGTTCTTATCTTGGTCACCAATCTTGCATCCAAAATACAGGTGATATGCCTTTTTAACCATAGCAGTTATACGGCGCTTCTGTGATGCAAAGGTCACCTCACCACAAATGTAGCAGAAGTTGTCTGCCATATTCATACAAGTACGAGGCATCTGAAAGAAGAAAATAACAAATCAGAAGATAAACAGAAAATTTATTCATTAATTTATCATTATAATACAGAATATGACAGCTAAGCAGAAGTATTTATATCATTCAGTAGGAAAATAAAATTAATAAAATATGCATATCAATAGCTTGCTCAGTGAATATTTATTATAAGTTTAAAAAGTGTTTGGCTAAGAAAATCACCTACCTTTTACCTCAAAATATAAACTTGCACATCACGATTATGACTGCTGGAACAATAATGAAGGTCAGTGAGACTGAGTGTGGTAAGAAACACTGCCACAAGCCTGTTGGAACCTGTTGTGACACGTAGAGCTAACAAACAATTTTAACCATGATATTCGTTATCAGTGATCAAAAATTAGTTGGAAATTGCTACTCTGGTCTCGGAAGCATTTCAGTTGTTGACCAGTGTAATATACATAATAGTACCGTATTGTTTATGATTTGACTGTGTGTGTCTATGTTTATCCTTGTAAAAATGTGCATTGTTAATTATTATAGTTCTAGTCTATCTTGAGAAATAAAATGATCTTAATAGTGCCTGGTATCCAGTTTATTTCCCAGAGCAGCAGTACTGTTTAGCGGTGTCTAGGTATGGGTTACACAGAAGGTTAAGCAACATTTGGATTTCGACACTGTTGGTCTCATATGAGGAGTGATGAGGGTCCTTACACTTCCACCAAAGATCTGTGGAGAATATAGTGAAACGTTACTCACCACAGTTATTGTCAATAATATGTTTATTAAAGAAAAACGTAACATATCTCACTGGAATTTATTTATATTGCTAAAAGCGTCTTGTGTCATTTTATAAGCTGCAGTATTATTGGTGTAACCTAAATGAGAAACATCATGCATTATATTATGGTTTTATTTTGAGAAATGTGCAACACTTGGGTATCTTTATTGAGGAAACGTTTCGCCACACAGTAGCTTCATGTTATCAAGAATGATGAACTGATCACATCAACTCCGGGCTGTGGGACTGATTACCTAAGACTCCTACAGATCTTCACCGTTCTCCTTTGTATTGGACTGATGAAGCCACTGTATGGCGAAAGGTTTCCTCAATAAAGACACCCAAGTGTTGCACATGTGTCTAATTTATCAACTTGTTGGTTCTCTGCACATTTGCCTGCAGTCATATTTTGAGAGAAATTTATTGTAATTACCTTATTGTTTCATTATTTTTACATGACGACCTCAAGTTGTCAAGATGGATGCCTGTTTTCCTAATTTTTTTATTATCGCTGACTATTTATCAGCTGGTGGATAAACTTTTACAATAACGGGTTCGAACGGAGGGTTCGAACCCTTGGCAACCCTTGCCTGTAAAAAAGCTGCATTTTTTAGTCTTAGTTGGGCCCATATTTATCTTAGTGTATGCAGAAATACACCTAGTTGGATGAATCATATAGACCTGCATTGCAGGCAGATTACCACTGATCCAGCTAGTTTTCGAGTGTCTTATCATGGGTTCGAACCATCAGTTAGTTGGTGGTTTAAAATCCATGTCATTGCGACTTCGCGAGTCATTCTTTCACAACATTCTTAAAACAATATGCCAGGAAAATCATAAAGCTTCTGTTTACACGTGGACCAGCCAAGGATCTTCGTCCCGTGTTATAAACTCCGATCACCAGTTTTGCTCTTTCTTCCCAAATCTGCCTCAGTGTTTAGAGCCTTGCCATTATGTCTGAAACTATATTGCCATATACACGCCACCCAAAAATCAAATAATGAACAAACTAAATTTCCCATCATTTCCATACCTCATGCATATGAGAAAGGGGTTTTAATTTAAATAATGATCCAATCTTCTTCGATCCGCAGTAACGTTCTGAACATGATTTTGATTTTTTTTTTTTAAATGAGATTAGTTCCTTCTCGATACCAGTGGTTTCCTTTTCAAAGTATCTACTCCGTATAAGACGAAAATAGACAGTATGCATCACTTGCCATTGCCATGAGTGTGAGTATATGTTTCATACTCAGTTGGTGACACTCTCGCACGTTAGCAAGATTGAAGGGTAAACTGGAGTCCCACTGCCACGCTCCTGTTGACCTGCAGACAGTGCTCTCTTCAGTAAGCATTATTTTTACTGCTACTACTACTACTACTGCTACCACTACTACCACTACTACTACTACTACTAATACTACTGCTACCACTACTACCACTACTACTACTACTATTTACTACTGCTACCACTACTACCACTACTACTACTACTACTACTACACTACTACTACTAACTACTGCTACCACTACTACCACTACTACTACTACTACTACTACTACTACTGCTACCACTACTACCACTACTACTACTACTACTACTACTGCTACCACTACTACTACTACTACTACTGCTACCACTACTACCACTACTACTACTACTACTACTACTACTACTACTACTGCTACCACTACTACCACTACTACTACTACTACTACTGCTACCACTACTACCACTACTACTACTACTACTACTACTACTACTGCTACCACTACTACTACTACTACTGCTACCACTACTACCACTACTACTACTACTACTACTACTACTACTACTACTACTACTACTGCTACCACTACTACTACTACTACTACTGCTACCACTACTACCACTACTACTACTACTACTACTACTGCTACCACTACTACCACTACTACTACTACTACTACTACTGCTACCACTACTACCTACTATACTACTACTACTACTACTACTACTACTATGCTACCACTACTACCACTACTACTACTACTACTACTACCACCACCACCACCACCACCAATATTATCATTACTAATTCTACTACATTAACTTCTACTGCTACTACAATACACAGATAACCCGCACATAGGAGAGACAGACGCTTCGGTCCGACTTGGACCATTTACAAGTGACTCGTAAATGGCCCAAGTCGGACCGAAAAGTAGTCATAAGCTTCTTTCTCCTATATACAAGTTATTTGTGTATTGTACCGGTCAGAGTATTGTGCTTTTTTGTTCTTTACTACTGCTACCACCATTACTGTTATTATTATTATTACCACGAGTGAGCGCGAAACCCATAGGAGCAATGGAGAGCCTAGGATATGATGAATCAGTTTTGATAAAGAGCCGTTCACTGGTATCAAAGCCCCTTCTACCTTCCTTGAAGGAGGAAGGGAAGGTAGTGCCTTTGGTATATGTTCCAGAGTGTTAGTGAAATATACGTACCTTGTCAGTGTGTCATACACCAGAAATGAAGTATAATTTATCATTTATAGCCAATAAATGTTGATAGGGATAATAATTCATCATTCACAGCCAAACTGATGATTAAATCTATAAAATGCTCTTTTTTTAACCAAAAATATCTTAATTTTATTTGAAAAAATTTGAATTCCCTAAAAATGTTTAAAAACTAAAAAAAGTGAAATATTAAGGTTTTTCATATGATATAAAATATTAACTCTAGAGAAGTATACTTCTAGAAATATTGTTCATTTGTTATACCCGGTTTACACTATACTTGGTAAGCTCCTACAAGGAGGGTTCTTGATGTAAGTGATGGCTCTTGATCTAAGAAATTGAACCAATACGTATTCTAATTCCTTGAATCGATCCTGAAATGCCTTCCATTTCCCCAGGCGCTGCCCCTTATATGTATTACTTCTACCCCTACTACTACTACTACTACTACTACTACTACTACTACTACTACTACTATATAATAATAATAATAATAATAATAAATAATAATAATAATAAAATGGCAGGTAAAGAAAAACATATAAATATAATCGTTCTAATTAGAATTTAGTACTGACACTGAGAAACATTGCAGTAACCATTAGTGAAACTGAATGTGAGACTTATCGCAATTCTATTTCTCGACCCCACACCGGAGAATACATCACTGGGGTCAAGAGAGAGAGGGTCATTCATCACCATTCCAGGTAGATGGTGGAGGTGACGGACCTTAGTTGTCTCCAAAGCCAGGAGTCGGTGAAAGGGATGGTGTCGTTGAACTGGCTGAAGTACAACATATTTCCCCACTGCGCCTTGAGATTCTGGATGCCTGCAGAGGCTTTTGGACTTTCGAAGTTGAACCAGCGGTACCTGGCAACGTGAATAATGGTAATGTGAAACAGCGGTATCTGGCAGAGAGCATTGGTAACAAGGGTAATATGAACCAATGGTACTTGGCAGAAAGCATTAGTATCACAGGTAATATGAAACAGTGGTACCTGGCAGAAAGCATTGGTAACAAGGGTAATATGAAACAGTGGTACCTGGCAGAGAGCATTGGTAACAAGGGTAATGTGACTCAGTGGTATCTAACAGCTTGAGCAATGGTAACAATGGCAATATGAACTACACTAGTGCACACTGGAAATAAATCTGCTGTAACATTACAATGTTGATCAAAAATATAAATAAAAAGGATTGGATAACCAGTAGGAGTCATTCATCTCCTAAGTAATGGAAGTCAGCAAATTGAAATTCTATGAGTAGGCTTCACCTACACCAAGGCACCTTTTATGAAGGGAATATAAACAGGTAGCCTCAGGATAACCTAGATGCTGTACCTCTGCCGCTACTTCTCCACTTCCTTCTTTCTCTCTCCCCTTTTTTCCTATCTCTGTTTACCTCGCCTAGGTTTTATACTGGCTCCGTCACCCTCGTGTGTTAGTGTGACTTGTAAATGGTCCAAGTCGGACCGGAACGTCATCATCAGCTTATCTCTATGTGCGGGTTATTTGCTTATAGATGCATTTCAGTGGCTGCGCGATCCGAGGTCTCCCAGTGTACCCCACGCCCAGCCCCCTCTAGCTCAGTTCATTCAAAAAGGAGTGGTATAAAGTGCGGCATAAGTTTTTAATGAAGGTAAATATCAGTACTGGAGATTTGAAGTCAGTCAGATGAGGCCTTCTTAGGCTCTCACATGGAAATTAACATTCTGATTCCTTCGATAAAAAAGATGGTAAATTGGAATTTTACATAGCCCAAAACCGATTCCAAAGTTTAATTTAAGAAGAGGCATTCTCTGCTTTGATCGAAACAGTGCTCACAGCTGGGCGACTCTTATGTGGGGAAAAATACCATTAAACCTATTCAGGCTAGATACAGGGGATTTTACAATTTAATAAGCACAAAAACGGCTGTAATCACATAGTTTTCATTGAGAATGATGATAAATTATAAAGATTTAACCCAATAAGGTCATCGTGACTTATTTCCATTGGAACTCCAGTGTAGGCACTTTCCTGCCGTCTCTATATTCAACAAATAGTAATATACAGATCAAATTACAAAATTTAGTAAGCTAACGTACTGATTCCACTTATGGGAGAATATCTACACTCACTTTCACAATAATTAGAGTCATAATAAGTATGAAGAAAATATATGAAAGTTTTTTCCTTTTTATTTTTATTTAAAACAGAACAAATGCAAAGATGTATAAGAGTATAATAAAATTAAAACTATACTGGATATTAACAATACCTCTATTACACAATCCCAGTACAGAAAAAAAACACTATAGATAATGGCCATATTACAACCAGATACACTACCCCAACATATCCTAAAAAACCCTCCTTTTACAATAATTACTATTGCCAGTGTAGCCACTCAGCTGACACTTCTCCCCCCTCTTAAAATATTTACATTCACCGTTCTAAGAAACATACCTTATTATCCTAAAATTTAGGATCATACCCTGACCTCATCAAAAACTTAATGAGTATTTACCAAAAGTTGGTGGTCCCATGAACAACAAAACACAATAACATAAAATTACAGACTAAAACAGATATGAGCATTACATGCCTATACACCCATACACCTTTATTAAGTAGAAAAAGAATATACACCGTCAATATATAATATCTATATTAATGTAACAACCATGAAATTCAAGCTTTTATAACAACATTGCATAAAGTGAAGTTCACACTTAAAATGAAAGAAAATACACCACATGCTACATTATCGGTAAAATACTTGGATATGTAAATATTTTAAAAGAAACAAAGACTAGGACCCTGAATAAGATTATCAAATGTTTCCTCGTGATTTTAGTAAGATAACAACACCATAACAAACTCCTTACAACATCTAACACGCCACATACAAACATACCAAAACTTAACACACATTCCACGAGACTAGACATTCGCTGTGCCTTCTAGCACGTGCCTAACTAGTATTACATACAAATAAATATACAATGAATATTAATTTAGGTTACTAATCCTTATTCACACATGATTACATAATAGGTAATTACTTCAAAAGTGATGCAGGAACACGTTACAAAAATTTGCAAAAAACCTCGGGGTTTCAAGGAACATAGTGAAAGGAAAACCCTCTCAAGGGAAAATTTAAAATTCACTTGTAAGACCAATACAAGGGGGACATAATTCGCAAACCAAAGAAAATATTCATGTTATACACTTATATGTTATATATTTATAAATGTTATATATTTAAACTGTCATTTATGTCCACCCTCCTTTCCCCTCATCCCCCACAAAACATATATTAGTCTACGATTGTATATGCTAAACCCCTTGCCACACCCTCATCCACCCCCTCATTTCAAGGGACTCAACGCTCGCAATACCGACACACCATGACCCCCCCCCCTTGCCACTACCTTTACTCATCCATCCCCTGATGCACTCCAAACCTTCACAAAATAGAACAACATGATACTGCATCTGCCACACCCCCCACCCTCGATGACCTTCCTATCTGGGAGCATCGCTCCCGTTGGCAATATACCATGTAGGAAACGATACATAACCGCACGGGCCCTAGGTCGTATCCTTAATTTACTAAAACTTTGCCATTTAAAATCCCCTGCATATGGGGTAGATCCCTTCACCGGCGCCACTACATGTCCCTCTAACAATTTACACAAAGTTCCCAACTTTACTTTTTCCGGTTCCCTGGCTAACACTAAGGCCCTAACACTTTTTCACATTCCTTCATTTCCGCTCCCCCACCATTTCCGTTGTGATCATGTACCTTTTCTCATATGAAAAGTAAAAGGACACAGATACAACTAATGTGACAATTTATTGTGGCAACGTTCGCCCCCAGGAGCTTTGTCAATCCTTACAAACAATACAAAGTTCCAGGAGAGCGAAAAGTTTCCACAATAAAATGTCACATTAGTTGCATTTGTGTCCTTTACTTAAATTTAAAATATTGTCAGTAATTCCCACCCAAAATTAATACAAAATATATGAAACTTGTTGTTATGTTTGGCCCTAAGCCTTCAAACACTTGAAAAGGGCCTACATTATTATAATATCTGTAAGTTATCCCTAAATTTCATAATGAGAAATACGTCACCTGCACTAGGTTTTTACCCAGTAAGAGTTCTTACCCCTTGACAGTTTTATTGAGGGGAAAAAGGCGTTTTTTTACTGTAAAATATCGATGCACCTAGTTATATATATTATATATATATATATATATATATATATATATATATATATATATATTAATATATATAATATATATTAAAAAATATGATTGTAGATCTTACCTACTCTGGGCCCAGACAGGAGGGGGTCTGGCAGCCAGGAGAGCGAGGGGGCGCATCACAGGACGAACGAGCAGGTCGAGCTCCGTGAACGGCACCAACTCGTCATGGTGTTCACGCATTAAGAGTACCCCCGTTCCTAAACCTTTGGGACAATAAAGGAGCGATGATGAATGACTGAGTGTAAGACAATATGCGTCGGAAATTATGAGATTAGTAATAATTACATATAGTCATAAAGGAAGATATGGTAACTAAGATCAAGTAATAAATCCAGATAGATGGATCATGTACCACGACCCGTCACACACGAATTGGTTCTTTTACAGTATTTTGAAATCAGTTACATAGCAAATGATGATGGGAAACACAGAACTCAGTTCTGCACCTTTTTAAAGATAGCATCACGTATGATCATTTACCAGAAAGGATAATATCGCTCTAAGACATAATGCGACAACCCCAATATTGAAAGAAAAGTACCCAAGCCAGTGGCACCAACAATATGCTTCCACCCTAGACACTATTTTTTTTGGCAAGATTCAGAAATTTACAAAGCGACTGAGTCATTCCCGTATTGCCCTTTCGTGGAGTAACACAAGTTTTCAGCATGTTTAAGAGGAAGTTAATGTAGCTCTTGGTGTAGCTTCAGAGATCTTCCTATTTGATATCATAATCTTGACCAACAGCCAAACCAAACCTTCACTGCACTACATTTACATTTCTGTCAAAGACTGTAAGAAACGAGCCCATTACATTACATAGTTATTCTTCTTCTCAACAGTCAAGTTGCTCCGAACGCCTCTAATGCACTCGTACAAGACAACACTAGAGTCGCCATAGTATCTGGCACATTCACCAAAGACCTCACCAAAACTAAATTGGCGAACCTTGAACCAATTAAGACAGAGGTTTACATAATTCTTTGTGGCGCCTGTGACAAGGCATATGTCTTGGAACACGTCTGAATGAATGTATATATATACAGTCTGAACAACGTGTTGGCACAACACCAGAACACTGCCAGCCACTTGATATGTTGGAATGATGTCCGCTTAGGGTTTAAAAAAATTAACAGCCTCAGACGAAAGTGCGTCCTTATTCGACATTTCAGACAAAGTTAAACAGAACAAAGGCAGCTTCGTCAGCTCTGAATCTTCCGTGTTCGTTTTTGTTGTTTGTATTGATTTGATAAAACTCCTGGACAGCTAAACGTTCCATAAGAAATGTCTCATTAGTTGCTCCTGTATCTTTTTACATGAAATTACGACAATGCAGTATGTTATTAATATTTATGCAACTAACTGGAACGTCAAATATTTGACAGAATTCAGCCTTTCTTATTCGGCACATCCTTATACACCTAAAAAAAGAACTGAATCAGATTCATTGACTTTGACAACAAAGCGATCTTTCAAGGTATTCGTTGAAAAGTTACCACGAAACTTCGACCAAATGAGTTTGGTTGTATGGCCCCTCAATAAGGTTAGTGTGCGCTTCGAGAAACAGGCGAGGCACGTTGAAATTTATGTAGAGTAAGGCCTACCTATTCCTGTGCCGCATACTGAAGCAGCAGCTTACATAGAAAATAAGCTAGTATTAAAATTAAGCTTCAAGAATGCTTTCAATCAAATAATGAGAAATGAAATGATAAATTTGTTATTGAAGACAGACATCTGAGTATAGCTTCGATTCCGTAGATACAAGAGGTATTTATGAATGGGTAATTCGGTTAGGTTAGGTAAGGTTCGTCAGGAAACAGAACATGTGTCTCCTGATACGGGTCTTAGTCAGATGATGACCCGTCTTGGAACTTCTTGTCATCTGATCGAGGAATTCCGCTGGCTTACCGGTCCACCACTTTAAAAATTATGGTCATACTTATACAAATAACATAACTTGCAGTCCTCTCCTCGTCCTCTCCTGTCCTATACTCGTGATCGTTCGAAATGGCTGACACTCATCTCTGACAACTGGTTCCGCCATCTTCAAGGAGACAGAAAATCTGGACACCGGCCTCACACTTCCTGCCGCTTCGTCATGAAAGGCTCATTGAGAAAGTGCGGACTAAGTTTTCGAACAAGTCTTCCAAGAAATAATTTCTTTTCCGTCTCCAAGTCAATAAGTTCTTAGTATATTACTATAATAATCATGGCATGGGTGCTTTCGGAGATGTAAGGAGATTTATAAAAAAAGATAGGCATTTCTGCTTAGTTAATCCTGCTATCAATAAGTAGGATTTTTCATATACACAGAAAAATGCTCGCCACAGATCTTTATTTCATTGTTACAAATATAAGCCTGACTCCACCGTACACAAAACGCGAGGGAAGGGAGAACCTTACCTACAACTACGACGTCAGGCACGACTATTGCTGTGGCCAAGTCGTGCAGCTTGGTGACCTTCCGGCCGGTTCTTGGAGTCGGGTGGTCCATCGTAGACCCAGTCGGCGCCCATACTAATGTAACTCGCAGGTCATAGGACTCAAGGCGGGTGTCCGCCTCGAGTAATGGTTTACTGGAATATTCAATGATTCCCTTATTTTTTATCCCGGCAGAATTTATTTTCGTTTTTTCAGGGTTTTTAAGAAACGTTCCGTTATTACTGCTGTGTACATCATATATCTTCCGACCTGTGTTTCTGTTATTTACAATGTGCATGCCACGATTCGCACTGTTGTATTCACCATCAGTGCGTTGAGCAGGAGTGTGGCTGCTTCCGTTACTACTGTGGTATCCACTTGCATTGTGTGGGTGGGAGCGTGTGGGCTGCGAGGTGGAGGACGAGGTTGTGGTTGTAGAGGTTCGGTGACCTAGAACGTCGTATGTTTGAGGCTTGTGTTCAGGGCGAGACACAGCCAAGGTAAAGTCTTCCAGCGTCACCTGTAAATATATTACGATTTACTAACTAGTTAAGTCCTTGTCATACATTTACAGTTAGATAACTACAAGGGTGAGAGGGGTTGAATTTGAGTGGGATTTGTACTTGAGTTAATAGGGTTATCAAAGCTTATTCCTTGAGTAACATTGATAATGGGTTGGGGAGAATATTTTTGTTAGTGGGTTTGAGTTTGACAGGGACTTGCCAAGTATCAGTCAGTAGGCTTGCTGCAGTGTTCCTCCTTTCTTATGTTCTTACGAGTAAATGTGATATGCTCTTCTAATCGGTTTAGACAGCTGACAGCTAATTTCAGTTACAGCCTTTGTCGATGTTTCATAATTATTCTATGACTTGGTTACCTAGTGAAGTTTGCCATGCGCCTAGTTCTCCTTAATAACTGTGATATGTATATTATGTAGTAGTTGTGTGAAACACTGGAGGCTCGATCCTCCCTCCTGGGACTGAATCACCTCCATGACTGATGTCAACCACGAGTTTGGCCACACGGCTAACGTTTGTTTTACTGTCAGCAGACGGAGGATAGAGCCTCCTATTCACTGCACTTCAAGTACAGGTGTGATAACACCGACAGATTGTGGGAATAAGACACATATGTACAATCATAACATTCATTGCACAACCCGCACATAGAATGAAACTTATAACGACATTTCGGTCCGTCATAAGTTTCTTACAAGTGCCTTTTTATTCTCAAAACACCTTCTGATTGTCTTAACTGAGCATGTGTGTCTTATTCCTACAATCCTTTGCTTTGAATGGCCTACACAGAATCAGCCTTCTATGAATATAATAACAATCTTTATAACTAATATACACGGTAACATTTCAATATAATTACACCTTAACATTAAGAGACGCGTAAGTTCCCACGTCTTCTAATAACATGTTTATTTGTCCACTATAATCTACCTTGTCCATAATTATTATCGCATTTGCTTTGTCTGTTCCGTGAGGTGAAGTCTAGGATCTTTCCTTAATTCATGGTATAACTTAACAAATAATTGATAACAATAGTGTTGTAGAGGTCTGAGCTTTTCTCAGACCTCTACAGCACAACTGTCCTCAAAGATTTGTTAATTTATATCATTAATTAAGGAAAGGTCCTGGACTTCACCTTACGATACAGACAAAACAAATGCGATAATAATTATGGACAGGGTAGATTATAGTGGACAAATAAACATGTTATTAGAAGACGTGGGAACTTACGTGCCATTAAGGCTGAAAACGAGAGAATAGTGACACGACCAAAACTAAATACTTTTCTACCAGAGAGCGGACACCTCAGCCATCTTGAATAAGTTTCAACTCTCAGGAACCTATCATGAGGGGGATGCAGTGACAATTAAGGTCTCGTGATCCAAGGAATGGGATCACTCTTAAATTCACGTGAAGCACTAAACCCGTCTGGATCATTCAGAGTGTGGTGGAGGCTCGATACTCCGTCCGCTTATCGTTAGACGGACGGTACTGTCTCAGCTTGTCGAGCTGATTACCTTACACTCCTTAGGTGTGTTTTATATGTGATAACTGATAACACACATGAGACGTGTTATCTTTATATGTACGAGATGACTGATAACACACTTGCTATGGTGTTATCATACTGGGTATTTAATAGCAAGATATTCAATACTTTTAGTAGTGTTTGAATTATCACAAAAGTGTATCTCACTTTTCTCTTAATACTCTATACATGTATTTCCCGTCATGCCTGTGAAGGCTCTTGATTCAAGAAACTGGAGTTTTTTTCCTCATCTTCCTTGGATCGAATCTGATTAGCTCCTATTTTCCAGGTGCTGTTTAACCCCCCCTGTCAATTTCCTCTACCTATCCATGCGCTTTATGACCCCTAGGGGTTTAGCGCTTCCTCGTGAATATTAGTGTTTAACATGTACAGGCTTAGTTTTTTTCTCCATGAGTCTATTAGCAATAATAATAATATTAATAAAAAATAATATTAATAATAACATCAATAATAATAATAATAATAATAATAATAATAATAATAATAATAATAATAATAATAATAATAATATTAACACTATTATTATTTTCAGTACAGACTGACAACTGCGACACAGACGACTCTCACCTCTGTGTCACCTATGAGATAGGTGTAAGTCAGCTGGGGCGGCAGGAAGCTCAGGAAGGAATGAATCTTCTGCCTCATGGTGGAGTCACCTACAAAAGCCACCCAAGTGGTGGCACCTCTGGCTCTCCTGGCGGCGGTACACGCCTCCAACTCCCCTGCCTCGTATTGCTTCACCTGCAAGCAACACAGGCTAAGGGATGGACCACCTCAGGATGTCTTCTTCATAGCTGATGTTTGACAACATTTTTACCTCCCCACAGCTTCTGCTGTCTCCATGTTTTAGTCATCTCTGCAGTTAACTGACCTTTATACTTTATTAAAATATAATTATATAGTACCAAAGAATATTAATTTTGACTTTACGTCTTGCACACTTTTTGAATGATAGTTAAATCTTCATTTATTTCACATTTCGATAAGGTATTATGCAGTCAGGGTGAAAGATTTCTTGTTTTTACTACATCATTGTTTATATAGCAAGTAGAGACCAAGATGTTTGAGGACCAGAGTATATCCAAACAAATTAATATGTAAATTTTTGTGTAAAACACGCACATAGGAAGCATTGGGAAACTTTTTATTAGAATAAGTTTTGCTCCTGGCGATTGAAATGTGTCTAATGATAAACTCCTAACAGATAAGAGTGCATTTGTTTTTGTTTTCAGAATAAAGGATCGCAGACTAGCGGGGCAACCAGCAGACTCACTCGGCAGGGAATGAAGGGTACTGAGCCATTCAGGAGGTCGAGTCGTGTCCTGGGTAGATGGAAGCTGGCTGGCTATCGTTAGCGCTCCGCCTCACCGGAGACTCCACAAATAGTGATGGTAGGTGACGACTGAGCTCTTGGTATGGTGAATCTAGGGAAAGAGGAGACTAATTAGACAACATTGTTGTCACCACGGTGGCCCTGCACCAGGATCCTACAAGACAAGCCATTCAGTACGGACAAATGTCCCGATCTGAAGGGTCAAGAATAGAAAATATTCGTGGACAACTAGGAACTACATGAGATAGAATTCAGTCGTACTGGACAAGAGAGACCTTAGTTCCGGGTAGCAGAAATCTCAAGCAAAAACAGTTATGCATATTTCTCATAAAATAATAGATTCCTTGGCTTTATTATAATTGGTTATAAGTGCAGTAAAAATTATTATAGCAGAGTACAACTGATAAGGCCACTATCGATTGTAAAGCGCAATACTGGTCACAGTTTTATAAATGGCAAGTTTATCTCTATCGGGAATTTTTCCTTCGAAAGTAGATTAAGAGAAATAAACTTAGAACATAATGAATAATATTCTGAAAGTGTACAAACTGAAAATAAAAGTAAATGAAGGGATATATATATATAATATATATAATATATATATATATATATATATATATATATATATATATATATATATATTATATAAGGAATTCGCAAGAGCAGGCGAAATATACACAAACACTGATCTCTGGCTGAAGAGACTCGAACCTACGAACCTTGGAACAAGGTACGCAGTGCTTTACCAATCTACCCACACTGGACAATACCTTGGAGTCCAGCTTGCGCTAGACTTTGATCCAAGGCAGCCAGCTTTCAGGGAGAAGGCTTACAGCTTTTCATCTCATCCCCTGCATGCATCAGCCTTACTAGAGATATTAACAATGCAATGGTCATCTCTAAATGACCAAACCACCCCAACAACCCCTCTTCAGCTCTCTGACTAATACTTTTATTAATTTTACACTTCCTAATTTCCACACTCCGAATTTTCTGCATAATATTTACACCATACATTGCCCTTAGACAGGACATCACTGCCTCCAACCGCCTCCTCGCTGCTGCATTCACAACCAAGCTTCACACCTATATAAGAGTGTTGGTACTACTATACTTTCATACATGCCCTTCTTTGCCTCCATAAATAACGTTCTTCGTCTCCACATATACTTCAACGCACCACTCACCTTTTTTCTCTCATTCAATTCTATGATTAACCTCATCCTTCATAAATCCATCCGCCGACACGTCAACTCCATGTATCTAAAAACATTCACTTCTTCCATACTCCTCCTCCCCAATTTGATATCCAATTTTTCTTTATCTAAATCATTTGATACCCTCATCACCTTACTCTTTTCTATGTTCACTTTCAACTTTCTACCTTTACACACACTCCCAAACTCGTCCACTAACCTTTGCAACTTTCTTTAGAATCTCCCATAAGCACAGTATCATCAGCAAAAAGCAACTGTGTCAATCTCATTTTGTATTTGATTCCCCATAATTTAATCCACCCCCTCTCCCGAACAACCTAGCATTTACTTCTTTTACAACCCCATCTATAAATATATTAAACAACCATGGTGACATTACACATCCCTGTCTAAGACCTACTTTTACCGGGAAGTAGTCTCCCTCTCTTCTACACACCCTAACCTGAGCCTCGCTATCCTCATAAAAAACTCTTTACAGCATTTAATAACTTACCACCTATTCCATATACTTGCAACATCTGCCACATTGCTCCCCTATCCACTCTATTACATGCCTTTTCTAAATCCATAAATGCAATAAAAACTTCCCTACCTTTATCTAAATACTGTTCACATATATGCTTCAATGTAAACACTTGATCTACACATCCCTTACCCACTCTGAAACCTCATTGCTCATCTGCAATCCTATATTATGTCTTGCCTCTAATTCTTTCAATTATAACCTACCGTACACTTTTCCTGGTATATGCAGTAAACTTATTCCTCTATAATTTTTACAATCTCTTTCATACATTTACAATCTCTTTCATACATTTATTAAACAAAAATACCAACCACTCCAGCACTACATCCCCCCGCCTTTTAACATTTATGTCATGATCCCGTCAGTTCCAGCTGCTTTACTCCCTTTCATTCTACGTAATGCCTCACGCACCTCTCCCACACTCACATCCGGTTCTTCTTCACTCCAAAGGATGGTATACCTCCTGGCCAGTGCATAAAATTACCGCTTCCCTTTCTTCGTCGAATTTAAAAAGTTCCCCAAAATATTCTCGCCATCTATCCAAAACCTCCATTTTCCCATCTACTAAAATCCCCCTACTCTGTTTTTAAAATGACAAATCCATTCGTTCTCTAGGCTTTCTTAACTTGTTTAACTCACTCCAATTTTTTCTTATTTTCATTAAAATTTTTTGACAGTGCCTCTCCCACTCTTTCATCTGCTCTCCTTTTGTACTCTCTCACCCCTCTCTTCACCTTTCTTTACTCTCCATATACTCTGCTCTTCTTATAACACTTCTGTTTTTTTAAAAACCTCTCATAAGCTAACTTTTTCTCTTTTATCACACTCTTTCTTTATCATTCCACCAATCACTCCTCTTTCCTCCTGCACCCACCCTCCTACATATATATATATATATAAAATATATATTTTATATATATATATATATATATATTTATATATATATTATATATATATATATATATAGTATGATAATATATATATATAATATATATATATTTAAATATATATATATATATATATATATATATATATAAATATATATATATATATATATATATATATATATATATTTTAATATATATATATATTATATATATATATATATACATATATATATAAAATATTATATATATTTATATATATATATATATAATATATATATATGTTGTGTGTGGTGTGTGTGTGTGTGTGTGTGTACTCACCTATTTGTACTCACCTATTTGTGGTTGCAGGGGTCGAGTCAGCTCCTGGCCCCCGCCTCTTCGCTGATTGCTACTAGGTCCTCTCTCTCCCTGCCCCATGAGCTCTAAACATACCTCGCCTTAAAACTAGCTGGTTCCTGCCTCCACATCCCTTTCTAGGCTATTCCATGGCCCTGACTACTCTATGACTGAAGAAATACTTTCCTCATCCCTTTGATTCATCGAGTCTTCAACTTCCAATTGTGACCTCTTGTGTCTGTGTCCCTTCTCTGGAACTCCCTTTTTTGTCCACCTGTCTATTCCGCGCAGATTTTTTTATGTCGTTACATGTCTCCCCTGACCCCCCTGTCCTCCAGTGTCGTCAGGCCGATTTCCCGCAACCTTTCTTCGTAGGACAATCCCCCCGTACCCCTGGGACTAGCCCTTGTTGCAAACCTTTGCACTTTCTTTTAATTTCTTGACGTGCTTGACTAGGTGTGGATGCCAAACGGGTGCTGCATACTCCAGTATGGGCCTGACTAGATGGTATAACAGAGTCTTAAACGAATCCTTACTGAGGTATCGGAACGCTATCCGTAGGTTTGCCAGGCGCCCGTATGCTGCAGCAGTTATCTGATTGATGTGTGCCTCGGGAGATATGCTCGGTGTTATACTCACCCCAGATCATTTTCCTTGAGTGAGGTTTGCAGTCTTTGGCCATCTAAACTATATTGTGTCTGCGGTCTTTTTTTGCCCTTCCCCAATCTTCATGACTTTGCATTTGGCAGGGTTAAATTCAAGAAGCCAGTTGCTGGACCAGGCTTGTAGCCTGTCCAGGTCTCTTTTGTAGTCCTGCCTGATCCTCGTCCGATTTGATTCTTCTCATTAACTTCGCATCATCTGCAAACAAGCCCTCTTCTGAGCCCTTCCCTTCCGTTATGCCCGTTCACATATACCAGAACAAACAGGTCCTGGGAAACTGACCCTGTGGAACCCCGCTTGTCCTGGCGCCCCACTCTGACACCTCGTCGCGTAACCATGACTCGTTGTTGCCTCCCTGTCAGATATTCTCTGACCCATTGCAGTGCCTTTCCTGTTATGTTGCCTGATCCTCTAGCTTTTGCAGAAAACCTTTTGTGAGGAACTGTGTCGAAGGCCTTCTTGCAGCCCAAAAAATATGCAGTCGATCCACCCCTCTCTCTCTTGTCTTACTTCTGTCACCTTGTATAAAACTCTAGTAGGTTTGTGACACAGGATTTTCCTTCCTGAAACGGCTGGTTGTAAATTTAATACACTTGTTTTTTTCCCAGGTGCGCCACCACTCTCCTCCTGATGAATCTTCTCCATGACCTTGCATACTATACACGTTAGTGATACAGGTCTGTAGTTTAGTGCCTCATGTCTGTCTCCCTTTTTAAAAATGGGACTACATTTGCCATTTTCCATCCCTCAGGGAGTTGCCCAGTTTCAAATGATGTGTTGAAGATCTTTTTTAAAAGGGGCTCACACAATA